AACTTCACCCTGGCCTTCTCCACAGCAGAGTAAGCCACAGCCATGGGCTGGCAGAGCTGGACGGGATCCTAGGCGAGGACTGATTCACAGGGGTTGAGTAGTGCGGCAGTTACACTGATGCTGGTGCCACACATTCATATACCCAACAGACATTTTTTGAGGGCCAGGCACTGTTTCAGGCTCTGGGGATACAGCAGTGGGTGAAACAGACAAAAATCTCTGCTTGGGTCAAGTGCAGTGGCTTACTTGTATAATCCCAGCACTTTGGGAGGCCGAGGCAGGAGAATCGCTTGAGGCCAGGAGTTCAAGACCAGCCGGGGCAACATAGTGAGACCCCCATCTCTACAAAAAATCAAAGAATTAGCTGGGCATGGTGGTGGATACCTGTGGTCCCAGCTGCTCCGAGGGGAGGCTGAGATGGGAGGATCACTTGGGCTCAGGAAGTCAAGGCTGCAGTGAGCCATAATTGAGTCACTGCACTCTAGCTTGGGTGACAGAGCAAGACCTTGTCTCAAAAAAACCCAAAAAACTACAATTTTAAAAAATGAAAGGGAAACTTGCAGTATGGATTTACAACTCTAAGTGAATATCAGAAGGGCAGGCAGCTCTGCTCTGACCAAGTGCTCCTGAACCGCAGGCTGTGAACCACTGTCCTGCTCCTGCAGCTGCCTGGACTCTGGTTCTGAGCCAGGCAGAGCCGCTGGAAGGTGGGAGGAGTCATCAGATGACAATGACAGGCCGACAGGAGGCATCAGGCAGCTGAAAGCCCAGGAGGTCGTGGGGATGTGTGGAGAAGGAGGGAGGAGAATAGAAGCGGAGGTGCCTGGGTTTGAATCCCGCCTCCTCCTCCCCAGCTCTGTGACTCTGGCCAGCTGTCTTAGCCTCTCTAGGGGCCCCACATCACAGGGCTTGCTGTAAAGACTCAGTGTGAAGAGGAAACAGTGTCTGCCACAGCCATCACACCCCACTGCCTGTTCCAGAACTCTCCTCCGATTCCCATGGAGTCCGGGAATGAGGGGAGGGAGTGGCCAATGCTGAAGCCCCCAGTGGCGGAGCCCTTCCCCACCCACTCCCCAGGCTCAGTGGGAATGAAGGTTTTGCCTCTCCCACACAGAGGGACAGCATCCGAACCCACAACCATGGGGCACTGCACTGGTTGCAGGGAGTTTATCCCATTCTCCAAAATCCTCCAGTGTGTGTCCTTCCCACGGCTCCCAGTCCAGCGTGGATTTTGGCCCTGCAGTCTCAGCCCCAAGGGAGGATTTCCACTGGGGCCCTGGTTTCTCCTATGCCAGCACCTATGGCTGACTTTGGTAGGCAGGGACTGCTGAGACCCAGCTTCAGAGTAAGGATGCCAGAGGTGTCAGACAGGCCCCCGGGGCTGTGTTGCTCGCTTTGGCCTTGGGCAAACCACCGAAACACTCTGAGTCTCTGCTTCCTCTTCTGCTGGCTGAGGATGGAGGGAAGGAGTCTATGGGAACGTCCAAGGGGAAGCGTCTGATAAAGCATGAGATTGGTGTGAGGCCTCAACACTGATTAGCTCAGATTATCGGACTCAGCAAAGCCAGTGGTGTCACAGAGCTCCAAAGGGCAGCTGCGAAGTTAGAAAAAGAGGACTTGTTGCCAAGTGCCAGCAGCTCCTGCAACACACCAAGCATTCCTGCCTCGGGGCCCCTGCACCTGCTGTTTCCTCTGCCTGGACTCCCTTCCCCAGATGTGCATATGACTTACTCTAAGAGGCCTACCCTGAGCACCCTATTAAAAAATACTACAGCTGGGTGCGGTGGCTCACACCTGTAATCCCAGCACTTCAGGAGGCCAAGGCGTGTGGATCACTTGAGGTCAGGAGTTTGAGATCAGCCTGGCCAACATGGTGAAACCTTGTCTCTACTAAAAATACAAAAATTTGCCGGGCGTGGTGGCACACACCTGTAATCCCAGCTACTTGGGAGGCTGAGGCAGGAGAATCACTTGAACCCAGGAAGCAGAGGTTGCAGTGAGCTGAAATCTCCCCACTGCACTCCAGCCTGGGCAACAAAGCAAGACTCCATCTGAAAAATAAATAAATACATTAAAAACAAAAAATACCAGATCTCCTCCAACATAAGAACATACCCTGTGTCCCTTCCTGCCTTATTTTCCTCCTGAGCACCTCTCACCATCTGATGTACCACCTACTTTGTGTGTTGCTTACTGTCTCCCGCCACAAGAATGTCCAAGCCATGACAGTGCGGAAGTTTTGGTTTTATTCACTGATGAATTCTCAGAGCCTGGAAGAGGGCCTGGCACATAAGACGCTCCTGATAAATACATAGAAACTGAATGAATGATGCTCCTGGAGATGCTGCAGCTGCAAGCCAGGACTCTGGCTAGGATTTGGTTTCTGTCCTTTATCTTTTTTTTTTTTTTTTTCTTTTTTGAAACAGAGTATCACTCTGTCGCCTAGGCTAGAGTGCAGTGGTGTGATCTCAGCTCACTGCAACCTCCGCCTCCTGGGTTTGAGTGATTCTCATGCCTCAGCCTCCCAAGTAGCTGGGATTACAGATGCCCGCCACCATGCCCAGCTAATTTTTTTATTTTTTGTAGAGATGGAATTTCACCATGTTGGCTAGGCTGGTCTCGAACTCCTGACCTCAGGTGATCCACCTGCTTTAGCCTCCCAAAGTGCTGGGATTACAGGCATGAGCCCCCGCGCCTGGCCCCTTTAAGTTCTTCCTGAGGGGCCTGGCCTAACAGAAGTTCCCCGGTTCCAGAGGACAGATACACACGCATGTGAAAGTGGTGGGTTAATGTAGAACTAGAGACCAGAGGGTCCTGCTCCCATGTGAGGACAAGAAGCGCAATGAAAATGTGGGCTTTGGAATCAGACCCAGCTGGGTTTGAGTCTTCTATTATTTTAATTTTTTTTTTTTTTTTTGAGAAGCTCCCATTCTCCAAAAAGGTCTCACTGGGTTGTCCAGGCTGGTCTCAAACTACTGAGCTCAAGGGATCCTCCCGTATTGGCCTCCCAAAGTGCTGAGATTACAGGTGTGAGCCACTGTGCCTGGCCTCAAACTCATTATTGAAGTATTCACTGGGGTTGGCTTTGGTGTTACCTGTCTACATCCTGTGACCTACCTATAGGAGTATCACAGCTAAAGGAAGCCACAGCACCTGGCCTGGGTTTGTCTTAACTCTGCTGTGGCCTCAGTTATCTCATCTATATAATGGGATGATTGGCTTAGATGATCTCCCAGCTCCAACATCCCAGCCCATCCTATGAGCTTCATCGTTGCTGGGCTGCCCGCACCCATCCCCTTATCCTTCACCTTTGACCTTCTGCTCCTCATTCTACCCCATTCCTTAGGAAACTGGCTGACTGTGCTCAGCTGCTGGACGTGGATGACATGGTGCGGTTGGCTGTGCCCGACTCCAAGTGCGTCTACACCTACATCCAGGAACTGTACCGCAGCCTCGTGCAGAAAGGACTGGTGAAGACCAAGAAGAAATGAGGAGGTGACTGCCTCTGTGGGCAGAGATGGGCAGGGTGCCCAGCTCACCAGCTGTGGCCTGGGGGCTCCCTTCTGCTCGATGGAGGCACCAGAGCCAGGGGCTCAGGCAAGGGCATGTGGCGTTGGTTTTAACTGCATTAAAAGTACTTTTGTAAAATCCTCTCTGGCCCCTCAGTGCCCTCTCCATACTTGGCCCAGGAACGTCTGCACTCTGGGATGATAAACTCTGGACACAGGGGTTTCCTCACCTGCTGAGGTATCAATAACTATGCAAGGTGTCTGGGAAAGGACAATGGCCTGGGTCTCACCACTAACCAGCTGTGTGACACTGGGCCATACAGTTAACCTCTCTGGGCCTCAGTTTACAGGCTGAAAGGGGATAATGGGAGTTGCAACCTTATGAAGGTGTTGCGAGAGTCAAATGAGATAATGAAAAGGGCAAAAAGCTTTGCCCAGTCCTGCCACTCAAGTGTTCAGTAAGTGGTCGCCAAAAATAAAAAACAAACTTACATTTTGACTCTGGTGGCACTTCTTCTGGTTATGTTCCCCTCTTTCCACGCTTCTCAGATAAGGGCACTCCAGGGCAAGAGCTGGAGAAGATTCTCTAGAAACAAGTGGGATCTGGTTGACTTCCTTGACTCAAATCACCCCATATTCTGTCTCTGAAAAGCCAGCAGTATTCCAGGAGCTTACAACAATTGCAACCAGAAAGTTCTTCCTCTGGGTTAAGTTAATCCCTCTATCTGGCTGAAGTTCTGGCTTGTTTTTGCTTTTCCATTGCTCATGAGATACAAACCCCTGAGCTGATTACAATTTCCTGCTAACTATCCAGTCTGGTTTTATCAGCCATTTGGGGCATATGTGCTGATAAAAGCAGCTCATGAAAAATACAGAAAACAAAACACATCCCAGCCACAACCCTGGCTCACCTGCAGGGGTGTGGATTGGAAGAATGGACCCCAGCAATCCACTGAAGTGCTCTGTGCCTCAATTGCCTCATCTTTAAAATGGGGATGTTGGCTGGGCGTGGTGGTTCACACCTGTAATCCCAGCACTTTGGGAGGCCAAGACAGGTGGATCACCTGAGGTCAGGAGTTCGAGACCAGCCTGGCCAATATGGTGAAACCCCATCTTTACTAAAATTACAAAAATTAGCCAGTCGTGGTGGCGGGCATTTGTAATCCCAGCTACTCAAGAGACTGAGGCAGGAGAATCACTTGAATTCAGGAGGCAGAGGTTGCAGTGAGCCGAGATCACACTGCTGCACTCTAGCCTGGGTGACGGAGTGAGACTCTCTCTCAAATAAAAAAAATAAAATAGGGACGTCATCCCTGTGTACCTTCTGAAAGCACCTCTGTCCAAGGATGGCCTATTTTTCCATAGCCAACATTCCTTTTGATGTTTGGGGAACATCCAGGGGAAGCAAGGTCAGAAATTTATGCTTAAATCCCTAGTCCTCTCTGGTCCTGATGAAACTACCCCATCGCCTCATCAAAGACTCAGCTGCACTCCAGAATTCATCTCTGACTTTAATGGCTTAAGCAAGAACATGGTTTCTGTGGCTCCCCCTGGACTGGATGCTGGAGGACACACACTTCATAGCACAGTCTGAGGCCTGGTCCCAGGAACTGGCAATCTAACAGGATGGCAAGTGGTTTTGAAACATACAGATTTTCAGGATGGAAGTTTGATTTTTCAGATTGTGACTCATCCGTGGAAAATAAACGGTTTAGCACCTAAATCTGTAGATTCCCATCAGTGGCTTTGCTGACTCAGGTGTAAATAGGGTGCCCTCCATATGTCTCCCACCCATACGCTCCACTGCCCCCAGGCCCTCAGTGCCTGAGCCCTAGGGGGATTCGAGTTGGCTGCTGGGCTCATTTCCTGCAAGCGGGCCTGCAAGGTGACCTGTTTCTCTAAGATGGAGAGCTGGAGAACTGGCCTGTAACTCTGCAAACTGAAACTCCCTTGGCTCTGGGGGATGCAAAGGCTGTGGGAAGGGTGTACCTGTGGCCAGGTGAACCCGGGAGTGAGTCCACACACAACACACACACTCACAGCTCCCTTCCCTCTACCACACACACACAAACGAATGACTAACAACCTAAGAAAGAAAAAATGAGTGGGGAATGGGCCATAGGGGGCTCTGGCCTCAGTCCATGAGGTGTGTCCGTCCACCATGCCAAGGATCCAGGCCACAGAGGGTCAGAACATGAGTTAGGCAGGCCGGTCCACTCCATATTGGAGGGTGAACTCTTCAGCATTCTTTCTGAACAGCTCCGGATTCTCCGTCAGCAGGTCAGCGAGGTCCACCCGCAGGGGCTCCCTGATATTCGGTCTATTCACCAGCACATTCAGGGCCTCCAGGACTGGGGAGAGACAGGCCAGGACATCAGGGCAGAGGGAAGGGGGTCATGGCTGCCCACTCCCAAAGGCTTGACACTCCACACCCACTCCTTGGAGGAAAGGTTCCATCTCTTAGGATGACTCTATGACCGGATCAAACACCCCGCTCATTCTTGGTTGGTGACACCCAAGACCTTGACTGATTACATCAGTGGTTTTCAAACAACTACATTCCATGGCTTCAGAGAAGCTCTTCATCATGGGAGCCACTGAAATAAGTGAGGTTTCTGGGTCTTATCCCCATTTCAACAAAAACTACTCTGTTTTCCTCCATTATATTGATAGTCCAAATAAACTTTTCCTTGGGCAAAAGGGGTCTAAGGCTAAAGACTGAAAACCACCATGGCCCCCTGGCTCTTCATCTTTCACAGATGCCTTTGGGAACCTGGTGAAGGTAGCAGCCCATCTCCTGAGACAGACGCACACTCCACGTGCAAAACAGATCGTTCCCAGACCCCTTGAAGCTCATCCAAGGACCACTCCTCTCCCTGCTCCCACTCCCACCAACCAAAGGACTTTTGTTTCCTGAGTTAAAAACTCCTGAGGTGGTCTAGGTAGAGGATTGCACACTGACTCAGTCACAGGCTCTAGAGCTGCGTTGTTCAATATGGTAACCATTAGCCACAGGCAGGCATCTAAATTTAAATGAATCAAAATCAGGCCGGGCACGGTGGCTCACGCCTGTGATCCCAGCACTTTGGGAGGCCAAGATGGGTGGATGGCTTGAACTCATGAGTTTGAGACCAGCCTGGGCAACACAGCAAAACCTGGTCTCTACAAAACATACAAAAATGAGGCAGGTGTAGTGGCATGCTCCTGTAGTCCCAGTTACTCGGGAGGCTGAGGTGGGAGGATGGCTTGAGCCCAGGAGGTAGAGGTTGCAGTGAGCCAAGATCGCACCATTGAACTAACTGCCTGGGCAATAGAGACAGACCGTGTCTCAAAAGAAAAAAAAAAAATTAAAATTAAGTACCATTAAGAATTGAGTTCCAGCCAGGTGCAGTGACTCACACCTGTAATCCCAGCACTCTGGGAGGCCAAGATAGGCAGATCACCTGAGGTCAGGAGTTCGAGACCAGCCTGGCTAACATGGCAAAATCCCTCTCTACTAAAAACACAAAATTAGCTGGATGTGGTGGCACACGCCTGTAATTCCAGCTACTCGAGAAGCTGAGGCCAGAGAATCGCCTGAACCCGGGAGGCAGAGGTTGCAGTGAGCCAAGATCGCACCACTGCACCCCGGCCTAGGCGACAGAGCGAGACTCCGTCTTGAAAAAGGAAAAGAACTGAGTTCCTCAGTTGCAACAGTCACATGTGGCTCGCGACTCAGCCAAGTGCTGCTGTTTGCCATCTGTATGACCTTAGGCAACCACTTCGCCTCTCACATGCCTCAAATGTCCAGGTCTATTCAACAAGGCTAACGACAACACTACCTCACGGGGTTGTGGAGGAAATGAAAATGAAGTCCGCGTGTGATGTTCTTAGCACAGCACTGAAAGTGCTCAGTCAAGTGACAGCTATTATCATTATGAGGCCAGTTCCCTCCACTGTCATTTAGGACACCGAGTCCCAGAAAGGAACGAAAACTTGCCCAAAGTTCACAGAGGGAACAGCGGGCTTTCTTATCCCGAGCCCTTCCCTGTACAGCCAAGCTGCCTCTCTCGTGAACCACAGCAAGGTTCCTCTGTCACAACTGCCCAGGTATAGGAACAGAGGCAGGAGGAGGTCAGTCTGTCCAGGAAGCATCCCTTCTATCTCATAGTAAGTTCAGCCAAGACTCACAATTTTTACCTCCTCTCTTCGGGGCTTTTAAAGCTCAGAATAAGTCTGTGAACCCCCCTTCCAGTAATCTCTACCCAGTATCAGTCCCTCCTCCGGGCAAAGCCCAGCCCCACCTTGGCAAGTCTTGGTGCAAGGCTTCCAGTTCTCACTGCTGATGATGGGCAAGCAAACATGTCCGCTCTCGTCCACGTTGGGGTGGTAGATCTTGGTTGTGAATTTGATCGTGGGAGGCCTGAACGGATACTCAGGCGGGAAGCTGATGCACAGGTTGAAGGCTTTGAGGTGGTAGGGAGGTTGGTCCTGTGCAGAGAGAAAAGGGGTCAAGCTCCGGTCTGGTTTTCTTCCCTTCCTGCCCCCATCCCAGGGTCCTAGGCATCCTCTGCTTCACTCCCAGGGGGACACATGAGCCAGGATACGCACAGCACCTGCATTCATTTGACAACTGAGTCATGGATTAGTGAAAATGTGAAATCACCAAAGGGCACTGGCCTGGGAGGCAGAGAAGTCTGATCCTGGCTTTTGCTGTGTGACCACGGTTGAGCCACTTCCCACCTCTAGGCCTCAGTTTCCTCATTTGTAAAGTGGATAAAGATGGACTAGATGAGCTCTAAGGACCATCTCAGCTTTCATGGATTTCTGAGATTATGGAAGAAAAGGATGGAACATCCTTTCTTAGAACATTAGAATGGGGGTGAGGAAATGGAGAAACTGAGGAAATCCTAAGAACTCAGGAACTTAGGAAAATACAATGGTGCAGCTGCAGTGGAAAACAGTATGGCCATTTCTCCAAAGATTAGACATTGAATTACCATATGATCCAGCAGTTCTACTTCTGGGTAGATACCCAAAGAACTGAAAGCAAACAGGTATTTGTATACCAATGTTCCTAGCAGCCAAAAGGTGAAAGCAAACCAAGTGGATCAATCAACAAAACGTGGCATATACACACAATGGAGTATTATTTAGCCTTAAAAGGAAAGAAATTCTAATATATGCTACAACCTGGATGAACCTTGAAAACACTATGCTAAGGGAAATAAGCTAGACAAAAAAGGACAGATATTGCAAGATACCACTGAAGTGCAGCACCTAGAATAGTCAAATTCATAGAAACGAAATAGTAAAGTGGTCACCAGGTGCTGGGGCAAGAAAGGAATGGGAAGTTACTGAAGGGGTACAGAGTTTCAGTACAGGTGGACAAAAAGTTCTAGAGATGAATGGTGGTGATGGTTGTGCAACCATGGTTGTTTGTTTGTTTCCTGAAGCAGGGTCTCGCTCTGTCATCCAGGCTGGAGTGCAGTGGCATTATCATTGCTCACTGTAATCTCAAACTTCTGGGCTCCAGTGATCCTCCCACCTCAGCCTCCTGAGTAGCTGGTACTACAGGAGCCCACCACTAAGCCTGGATAATTTTAAAAATTTTTTGAAAGGGTCTCACTATGTTGCCAGAGCTGGTCTTGAACTCCTGGCCTCAAGTGATCCTTCCACCTTGGCCTCCCAAAGTGTTAGAATGACAGGCATGAGCCACCATGCCCAGCTGTAATCCTATTTAATGACACTGAACTGTATACTTAAAAACGGTTAAGATAGTAAATTGTGTTATATGTATTTTACCATGATTAAACACAAACAAACTCAGGGGCTGGAGTGACCGAGGGGTTGGGAGCTGCAAGGAGCCAAGAGAAGACCCTCTAGACTTTGAGCGACCTGAACACTTTTCTGAGCGCCTATCTGTGCTGTCCTGTGCTAAGGACTTGACATGCATTAGCCTGGGCAACAGAGTATGCGGGTCACACAGACTCCGGAGCCACCATGCCTGGGTGTGACTCGGCTCTGACACTCACTAGCAATGTGATCTTGAGCAAGTAACTTCACCTCTCCATGCTTCCATATGACAATAATAATAAACTTCTTCATAAGGCATATGTGAGGATGAGATGATTTAATTTATGCCAAGCACCTGGCACATGGCAAGTACTACATATATGTCAGTTACTACAATAGGTATAAAAACTCACAATTATTAGCGTCTCTATTTACAAAGGAGAAAACTCAAGTTCAGTGTATGTAAGTAACTCACCTAGGACCACAGCAGCCTTGCAGGGATGGGAACCCGGCACTGTCAACCCAACACCTTTACACAAGATGACTACTCACAGCCCTAGGAGGGAGAAACCCCAGAACCTGGGTGACCCCAGTGCAGAACAAAGGGGCCTTCTGGTTGGTTCCAAATTACCAAATCTCTTCAGAGTCATTGTTATTGAAAAGACAGAGCAAAGACAGCAAGAATGGCATATGTGGTTAAGCAGAGAGTCAAGATTTTCAGAGCTCCTCCTCCTTAATAGGCAAAACAGAAATCATGGTGACCTTGAGTGCACTGAGATGAGAGATGGAGTAACTAGGCCGGGCGCGGTGGCTCATGCCTGTAATCCCAGCACTTTGGGAATGCAAGGTGGGTGGATCACCTGAGGTCGGGAGTTCGAGACCAGCCTGACCAACACGGAGAAACCCTGTCTCTACTGAAAATACAAAATTAGCTGCGCATGGTGGCGTGTGCCTATAATACCCGCTACACGGGAGGCGGAGGCAGGAACCGAGAAGTGGAAGTTGAACCTGGGAGGCCGATGTTGTGAGCAGAGATCACAGCCTCGCACTCCAGCCTGGGCAATAAGAGCAAAACTCCATCTCAAAAAAAAAAAAAAAAAAAAAAAAAGATAGAGTATAAAAGAGTAGGAAGATAAAGAGAAAATATCTCACCTTTTATGGTCTCAAGAAGAAAAGGCTGGGCCTATCAGTCAGAGAAGGCCTATGGCTGAGGCCTCAGAGCAGGATGGGAGGGTGCTGTGGTTAGATGTTTGTCTCCTCAAATCTCAGGTTGAAATTTTATCCCCAAGACCGGCGCGATGGTGGCTCATGCCTGTAATCCTAGCACTTTGGGAAGCTGAGACAGGTGGATTGCCTGGGCTCAGGAGTTCGAGATCAGCCTGGGCAACATGATGAAATCCCGTCTCCACTAAAATACAAAAAAGTAGCTGGGCGTGGTGGCGTGCGCCTGTAGTCCCAGCTGCTCAGGAGGCTGAGGCATGAGAATTGCTTGAACCTGGGAGGCAGAGGTTGCAGTTTGAGTCTCACTCTGCACTCCAGAGTGATCTCCAGTGTTGGAGGTGGGGCCTAGTAGGAGGTGTATGGGTCCTGGGGGCAGATCCCTCATGAATGGCTCAGTGCCATCCTCACAGTAACAAGAGAGTTCTTACTCTATTGCTTACTGAAAAAGCTGGTTGTTTAGAAGATCCTGGCACCTGCTCTCTCCCTCTCTCTCTCTCTCTCTCTCTCACTCTTGCCATGTGATCTGTACATGTGGCTCCCATTTGCCTTCCACCATGAGTGGAAGCTTCCTGAGGCCTCACCAGAAGCAGATGCTGGTGCCATGCTTCTTTTTTTTTTTTTTTTTTTTTTTGAGATGGAGTTTCACTCTCGTTGCCCAGGCTGGAGTGCAATGGCATGATCTCAGCTCACCGCAACCTCTGCCTCCAGGTGCAAGCGATTCTCCTGCCTCAGCCTCCTAACTAGGTGGGATTACAGGCATGCACCACCATGGCCGGCTAATTTTGTATTTTTAGTGGAGATGGGGTTTCTCCATGTTGGTCAGGCTGGTCTTGAACTCCCGGCCTCAGGTGATCCACCTGCCTCGGCCTCCCAAAGTGCTGGGATTTTGGGATGAGCCACTGCACCTGGCGCCATGCTTCTTGTACAGCCTGCAGAAGCTTGAGCCAAATAAACCTTTCTCTATATATTATGCAGCCTTAGGTATTCCTTTACAGCAACACAAATGGACTAAGACAGGGGTATCAGTGTGTCCTGCCTGAAAGGGCTTCTTTCTGGGCTTTGTAGGTCTTAATAGAGGAAGGAGGTAGCAGAGTCATGGAGCTGAGAGCTCTGGGGACCTGTCCCAGCTCTGCCTCAGGCTTGCCGTGTGACTAAGCTTTCTCTGAGGATAAGTTTCCGTGTTTGTAAAATGAAGAAGTTGGACCAGAGGATTCCATATTGTATCTTACAGTCAATTGAGAAAATCCTACTACCTTCTAAGTTCTAGGTTAAATAAAGTATTTTGCTACTTTTTGTTGTTGCTTTTTTGAGACAGAGTTTCACTCTTGTCATCCAGGCTGGAGTGCGATGGCCCATTCTCAGCTCACTGCAACCTCCACCTCCCAGGTTCAAGAGATTCTCATGCCTCAGCCTCCTGAGTAGCTGGGATTATAGGTGCCCACAACCATGCCCAGCTAATTTTTGTATTTTTACTAGAGACAAGGTTTAGCCATGTTGGCCAGGCTGGTCTCAAACTTCTGACCCCTGGTGATCCACCCACCTCAGCCTCTCAAAGTGCTGGGATTACAGGGGTGAGTCACCATGCCCAGCCTGCTACTTTTTAAAAATTTTTGAAAACTATTCATTTTTCATGGAGTGGTTAAAAGAGAAGACCCTGGAGTCTGCTGAATTCCACTCCTGCTACCTTACTCTGAGTGACCACAGACCAGTTGCTTAACCTCCTTGGTTTCTATCTCCACAATTTTAAGAGGAAGACAACCTTCCTCATTGGACGGTTGAGAAGATTCAATATGACCTGATATGTCGTGTGCTTAAAACAGCACTTGGTCCACAGGAGACTCTCAGAAAGGAATGAGTATTCTTACTATTAGCTTCAAAAGGCTCATCGAACTGAAACCTTCTATGACCAAGATGTGACAAGTGGGGCCACTTTGGTGAACACATAAACTGAGACCGAGTCTTTGAGGAGGAATTTCTCTGCTATTCCAAAAGACCTTTCTTGGTTCTCCTTCCTCTGCCAGTCAACCATCCCCTCCTTTATGGCCTCACCAGGAACCTTCAGGTTAGCTGATGACTTACATCAAGCTTTGGTCCTCCAGTTCTGGGATTCCTCCCAAGTGTCATGTTTCTTCAGGACACCTATATGGGTGGAAGGTCTGTGGCCAGTTCCTGGGGCACACTTAACCACCTTGGTCTTGCCAACCATTGAGGTCCTCTGATTTCATAGTCTTCTGCTAAACGAGACCTTTCCTAGGTTTTCCTATCACCCCCGCTTTACTTTCATCATCTCAAAGTTGGTCTCCTTGGAGATATAATCAGTCCCTGGAGCTCCTTTGAGCATCTTCTCCTGGCATCTGAGGTCTAGAACAGGTGTGCTCACTCTAAGCCAGGTAAGTGGATCGCTTCAACACAGTAACCCAAGGGAGTTGACAGATTCCTATGGTGACCTGACTCAGGCCTTTCTCTACTTTTCTGGACTACAGTTTAGTTTAAAGAGAAGATGACACAACCTAGGCCACTGCATTGTCAATAAAAAGTAAACCCTGCCGGGTGTGGTGGCTCACACCTGTAATCCCAGCACTTTGGGAGGCCGAGGTGGGCAGATCACTTGAGGCCAGGAGTTTGAGACCAGCCTGGCCAACATGGCAAAACCCTGTCTCCACTAAAAATACAAAAATTAGCCAGACATAGTGACACGTGCCTGTAGTCGCAGCTACTCAGGAGGCTGAGGCAGGAGAATCGCTTGAACCCAGGAAGTGGAGGTTGCAGGGAACCGACATGGTACCACTGCACTCCAGCCTGGGTGACACAGTGAGACTCTGTCTCAAAAAAAAAAAAAAAAAAAAGTCCAAATCCTAAATAACAAGATGAATTATTCCCTTGACATTCCAAAGAGCTTTGACTAACCAAAAGTTCAATGTCTTAAATTTTATTTCCAAGTAACGAAAAGTGTAGATTAATTTCTCAAAGTATCTTTAGTCACTAATAATGGGATGAAAAAAAGAGAGATCTGCACTCTGATAACTGTTTTGGAATACTGCTTTCAGAGAGACTTTATCAAAAAAAAAAAAACAAATAATAAACAGAGAAAAATAAGAACAGTAGAAATGAGCATTTGTGTTTTCATATGTAACAATTTTCTGAAATAAGACTAAAGAAAAACGAAATACAATTTAAGTTTGCGGGAGCAAATTCTACCAACGGTGGGAGCCTGGAAGTTTATCCCTACCCCTTGACAAAGGTCCAAGAGATCTTTATTTCTTCTTCCTTTTGATGCTGTTTGTCTCCCGAAGTTCTGTGGTGGGCTTGGTGGCTACTGGTTTAAGGAAGGGGTCTCCTACTAAGTCCAAAAGTCCTTTAGTATCTTTATGGGAAGATGAACCTCAGAAGTATCTGGATCTCAGAAGCAATCAGTTCAGAGAGACGACCCTTCCAGCAATGATAACCTCCAGTAAAAGGATCCCAAGGCAGGGAAAATTCTTGCCTAGTCCTAACCCTCCCTGCCCATGTCCCTGGCCTAAGTTGTCCCCAACCCAAAGCCACGGTCCCCATGGATACTCACAGGTAGGAGGAGAGCGTGCCACACCAGGACATTGGCATCACTGCTGGACAGGTTCCGCAGGTACGGGGGAGGCTTCTTCTGAAGATCCTCCAGCTCCTGCAGGGGACACAAGTGAGTGGGCAGTTGACCTAGTCCTCCCTATTTCAGCCCCCTCCCCCTGTCCCAGCAGCAAGCTGTCCCAAGTCCAAAACTGGCCATCTTAGGGGCAGAAGCCGGTAAAGTCAGAGCCTGCATTTACTGAGCACTTAGTATGTATCAGGCACAGTGTTGGTACTTTTTCTTTTTTCTTTTTCTTTTTTTTTTTTTTTTTTTTTGAGATGGAATCTCGCTCTGTTGCCGAGGCTGGAGTACAGTGGCACGATCTCGGCTCACTGCAACCTCCGCCTCCCAGGTTCACGCCATTCTCCTGCCTCAGCCTCCTGAGTAGCTGGGACTACAGGCACCCACCACCACGCCCGGCTAATTTTTTGTATTTTTAGTAGCGACGGGGTTTCACCATGTTAGCCAGGATGGTCTCGATCTCCTGACCTCGTGATCCACCGCCTCGGCCTCCCAAATGCTGGGATTACAGGCGTGGGCCACCGCGCCCGGCCGGTGCTGGCGCTTTAAGTGAATTTTCTGACTGTGGCCTCACCACAACTCTGGTACACCTAGGTACTAGGTGCAGGGAAAAATAGATCACTTCTCCCAGATATTAAAACTTGAGAGTAAGTGCTCTTAGGAGGCTTTTCTCTTGAAAGCAGGGTACTTAACCTCTGCTCTCTAGCCTTCTTCCTAGAAAGTCACTAGGTTCTAATTCCCTGCCTCTCTTCCTGTCTTCCTTCCATAAACATCTACTGAGCATCTACAGCAAAGACAGGACCCCACCGCTTCAAACTCTGCCAGATCAGGGCTGGAGAAAGGAAATGACTCCAGAAGACCACAGCAGAGAAGAACTCCAAGCAGGGAAACAAGGGGGCAAGGAGTGACTCACCTTCCCAGAACTGTGGCCCAAGCACCTGAATATCCCTTTTGAATTCTCCCAACTGCTATCACTGAGCATTCTCTACTGGCATGTAACTGAGCCAGGACCCAGTCCTCAAGAATTTCAGTAGAGTAATGGATGAAACATGGATGTGATTATGTGAATGTGTATGGATATACAGTAGGGAGGGAGATGAGAGGGGAGAAAGAAGGCTTCACAGAGGGGGCACTCTGTGAGCTGGGCCATGCAGAATGAGCAGGAATCCATGCAGAGAAGGGGAGAAGCACCAGGGTAGAGGGCCCAGATGGGGCAAATGTGTACAGTATATCCTGCAGAAGGTAAATAGGTAGTACAGGAAAAGCGTTCCAAGGTCAAGTACATTTGAGAAATCTAGGCTAAAGAGATTTCTTCACTGTAGAACTTCCCTGAGCCTTTAATATGCTATTGTGTATGGTGATTGACCAAGATGTGGGCCCACAGCATGCAGTACTTCTCAAATGTATTCGACAAAGGAATGCTGCCCCTCTTTTAGGGTCCATCTTGTGGGACTACAGGCCTTTTTTTCTTGGGGAAGATAAAAAGACACTCAAGGGCAGGTCACATTTCTCTGGAACAATGAATTGGTACAAACCAGTGGTTCTCAACCAGGGGCAATTTTATCTAACTAGCGACATTTGGTAATATCTGGGAGCATTTTTCCGTTTGCACAAATTGGGAGAGTGGGTAGAGGCCAGAGATGCTGATAAACATCCTAACAAGAAATTATCAGGCCCAACAAGAGGGGAGACCGCTGCCCTGCAGGGTGAGTCTCAGGCCTGATCACATTCACCACAAGCTGACTGAAGGGCCTTCGGACCTTAGGCGAACATCAGCAGTAGTACCCTGGCAGTACTCCTCACAGACCCATGGTGGTGGTGGACAAGGGGAGAGACTCCCATATCTGGGGAAAGGAGAGGGAAGAGTGGGAAGGACTGTGTCCTGTGGTTTCGGTGCCAGCTTAGTTGCAGTAGCACAGAGCACCAGGTAAATTTCTAAGGTTTCCGACTGCAGGCCCTGGCCCGTGGACAGCAACTGTGGACCTGTCTGGGGCCCAGCAGCGAGCTAACTGCCCTAAAGGGAAGGACACAACCCTGACTGGCTTCACCACCTGCTGATTGTAGAGCCCTAGGGCCTTGAGCGAACATAGGGCATAGCCAGGTAGTGATTACAGCGGGCCTTGGGCAAAACCCAGTGTTGTGTTGGCTTCAGGCCTGACCTAGTGCAGTCCCAGTTCTAGTGACCATGGGGACACTTGTGTCACACCTCACCCAGCTCCAGGGAGCTCAGTAAGCCTCCATTTGTTTGGGAGAAAGTAAGGGAAGAAAATGAGAGTCTCTACCTGGTAATCCAGAGAATTCTTCCTGATGTTATCCAAAACCACCAAGGTAGCGCCCTCTAGAGTCTGCAAGAACTACAGTGTTACTAGGCTTAGAGTGCCCCCTAATGTAGATACGGCTGCAGTGACCAAAAATTAGATTACAACGGCCAAGCCCTTCGAATACCTAGAAAGCCTTCCCAAGAAGGATGAGTACAAACGAGCCCAGACTACAAAGACTAATAAATACCTAACTCCTCAGTGCCCAGACACCAACAAACATCCACAAGCTTCAAGACGATCCAGGAAAACACAGCCTCACCAAACGAACTAAATAAGGCACAAGGGCCAAGTCCAGAGAAACAGAGATATGTGACCTTTCAGACAGAGAAATCAAAATAGCTATTCTGAGGAAACTCAAAGAAATTAAATATTTCCTCCACAGATAAGGAATTCAGAATCCCATCAACAAATTTAACAAAAAAATTGAAATAATTAAAAAGAATCAAGCAGAAATTCTGGAGTCAAAAAATGCAATTGAGGCCGCGTGCAGTGGCTCATGCCTGTAATCCCAGCACTTTGGGAGGCCGAGGTGGGCAGATCAGCTGAAGTCAGGAGTTCAAGACCAGCCTGGCCAACATGGTGAAACCCCCGTTTCTACTAAAAATACAAAAATTAGCCGGGCATGGTGGCACATGCCTGTAATCCCAGATACTTGGGAGGCTGAGGCAGGAGAATTGGAGAGGCAGAGGTTGCAGTGAGCCGAGATCACACCATTGCACTCTAATCTGGGCAACAAGAGCGAAACTCTGTCTCAAAAAAAAAAAAAAAAGAAAAGAAAAAAATGCAATTAACATACTAAAACGCATCAGAGCCTTTTAATAGCAGAATTGATCAAGCAGAAGAATTAGAGTGTTTAAAGGCAGGGTATTTGAAAATACAGTCAGATGAAGCAAAAGAACAAAAGAATAAACAAAGACTTTGGGAGGCCGAGGTTGGCGGATCACGAGGTCAGGAGATCGAAACCATCCTGGCTAACATGGTGAAACCCCATCTCTACTAAAAATACAAAAAGAAAAAAAAATTAGCTGGGCATGGTGGTGGGCACCTGTAGTCCCAGCTACTCGGGAGGCTGAGGCAGGAGAATGGTGTGAACCCAGGAGGTGGAGCTTGCAGTGAGCCAAGATCGCTCCACTGCACTCCAGCTTGGGTGACAGAGCGAGACTCCGTCTCAAAAAAAAAAAAAAAGAAGAAAAATAAACAAAGAATGAAGTATGCCTGCAGGATCTAGACAAGGGCCTCAAAAGGGCAAATCTAAGAGTTACTGGCCTTAAATAGGAGGTAGGGAGAGAGACAGGGCTAGAAAGTTTATTGAAACGGATAGTAACAGAGAACTTCCCCAATCTAGAGAAAAATATCAATATCCAAATATGAGAAGATTATAGAACACCAAGCAGACTTAACCCAAAGAAGACTACCTCAAAGACATTTAATAATCAATCTCTCAGAGGTCAGGGATAAAGAAAGGGTCCTAACAGCAGCAAGAGAAAATAAACAACACACAATGGAGTTCCCATATGTCTGGCAGCAGACTTATCAGTGGAAATCTTACAGGCCAAGGGAGAGTGGTACGACATATTTAAATAAAATATGACTGAGGGGAAAAACTTCTACCATAGAATAGTATATCCAGTGACAATATCCTTCAAATATGAAAGAGAAATAAAGACTTGCCCAGACAAACAAAAGCTGAGAGACGTCATCAACACCAGACCTGTCCTATAAGAAATGCTAAAAAGGAGTTCTTCAATCAGAAATTTCTTTTTTTTTTTTTTTTTTTTGAGACGGAGTCTCGCTTTGTCGCCCAGGCTGGAGTGCAGTGGCGCGATCTTGGCTCACTGCAAGCTCCACCTCCTGGGTTCACGCCATTCTCCTGCCTCAGCCTCCGAGTAGCTGGGACTACAGGCACACACCACCACGCCCGGCTAATTTTTTGCATTTTTAGTAAAGACGGGGTTTCACCATGTTAGCCAGGATGGTCTCGATCTCCTGACCTCGTGATCTGCCCGCCTCGGCCTCCCAAAGTGCTGGGATTACAGGCATGAGCCACCGTGCCCGGCCTATCAATCAGAAATTTTTTAAAAAAATTTAATGAACAATAAAAAATCATCTGCGCCGGGCCCGGTGGCTCACATCTGTAATCCCAGCACTTTAGGAGGGTGAGGTGGGTGGATCACCTGAGGTCAGGAGTTCAAGATCAGCCTGGACAACATGGCGAAACCCCGTCTCTACTAAAAATACAAAATTAGCGAGGTGTGGTGGTGCCTGCCTATAATCCCAGCTACTCGGGAGGCTGAGGCAGGAGAATCACTTGAAGCCAGGAGGCGGAGGTTGTGGTGAGCCGAGATTACACTATTGCACTCCAGCCTAGGCAACAAGAGGGAAACTCTGTCTCAAAAAAAAAAAAAAAAAGAAGAAAGAAAAAACAAAAGAAAAGAAATCATCTGAAGGTACAAAACTCACTGGTTATAGTAAGTGCACAGAAAAACAGATTAGGGCTGGGCACAGTGGCTACGCCTGTAATCCCAGCACTTTGGGAGGCTGAAGCTGGTGGATCACCTAAGGTCAGGAGTTCAAGACCAGCCTGGCTAACATGGTGAAACCCCATTGCTACTAAAATACAAAAATTAGCTGGGCGTGGTGGCGGGCACCTATAATCCCAGCTACTCGGGAGGCTGAGGTAGGAGAATTGTTTGAACTGGGGAGGCAGAGGTTGCAGTGAGCCAAGATTGCACCATTGCACTCCAGCCTGGGCAACAAGAGCTAAACTCTGTGAAGAAAAGGAAAGAGAAGAGAGGAGAGGAGAGGAGAGGGAGAGAAAGAGAGAAAAGAGAAAGAGAAAGAGAGGAGGAGAGAGAGAAAGAGAGAGAAGGAGAGGAGAGAAAGAAAGAAGGAAGGAAGGAAGGAAGGAAGGAAGGAAGGAAGGAAGGAAAGACAGAAAGAAAGACAGACAGAAAGAAAGAAAGAAAAAGTTAAAAAGCAGAAAGACGAAGTTAAAGTGTACAGTTTGTATTAGGTTTTTGTTTTGTTTTTTTGCTTTTTTGTTTTTTGTTTTTTTGAGACAGTGTCTCACTCTGTCACCCAGACTGGAGTCCAGTGGCACAATCACAGCTCACTGCAGCCTCAACCTCCTGGGCTCAGGTGATCCTGCCATCTCAGCCTCCCAAGTAGCTGGGACTACAGCAGTGTGCTACCATGCCCAGCTAATTTTGGTACGTTTTGTAGAGACAGGGTTTGGCTGTGTTACCCAAGCTGGTCTGGAACTCCTGGGCTCATGCAATCTGCCCGTGCTACCCAGGCTGGTCTCAAAACTCCTGGGCTCAAGCAATCCGCCAACCTCAGCCTCTCAAAGTGCTGATATTACAGGAGTGAGACACCACACCTGGCCTTTATTAGTTTTCATTTTGCTTGTTTGTTTATGCAATCAGTGTTAACTTGTCATTAGTTTAAAATAACGGGTTATAAGATATTATTTACAAACTTTGCAGTAACCTCAAATCTAAAAACATACAACGGATACATAAGAGTTATCTGACCCAAAATGTCAGCAGTGATGAGGTTGAGAAACGGAAGCTCTCCAAACCCAGTCCACAGTTGAGGAGGGGTCCTTTAACACTGGGGACCGTTTGAACTTTCTCTGCCTTCTCCCCACCCCCAACATATAATATAAACACATCCCATGCCCCCCTCCTCTCTCTCAGTCTATGTTCCACCTCTGTTCAACCAATAAGCTGCTTCTGGTGCCTCCCACCCAGAGTCAATGGGCCCTCATTTATCTTTACCCCAAACTAGAAGCACCTGTACTCCTAAGAGTTTCTCTATCATCTGTGACTGTTTGGCAAGAACAAAGCCCAAGGCTGACCAGAGAAGAACTGGAATAAACATTTCTCTGACTTTACTATAACTGGGCACACTTGGACTTTATCTATTTAGGGTGAGTTCTGCCAAAACTTTCCCAAAGCCTGAGGAAGTTGAAACCCAACTTAAAACACACAGTTCTTTCCTACTGCCTAATAGGAAATCACCTGACTAACCAGAACAGAAAATGAAAGTAGAAAGGCCATTGAAAGAGCCTGCAGGCTGGAGGCCTGTGGACCTGGCTGGCCTCATAGTCCAGTCCCATTGCTCCTTACTGAAAGACTCTGCACAAGCAAGTTGTTTTCTCTGCGCCTCAATTTCCTCATTTGTAAAATGCAGGTATATATTACTTATCTCACAGAACTGCTGTGAGAATTAGATGAAATAACCATGTACACTGTTTGGCATGTAATGGTTCCAGTGCAGTAAATTCTGGCTCCCACCTCTCTTCCCCTTGGCTGGAAAGACCCTCTGACTCATTTTGCTGCCAACCTCCAGATTTAGGATCTAGGCCAAGCCTGCTCTGGGCGTCCCAGTCTGAGGCCATTTTCTTCTCAGAGGCTGTGGGTAGCAGGCACCCTTTTCCTCGCCTAGAGCCTGCCCCTCCACCCTGCAGACTGGAAGGGGCACTTCTGAGAGACTTGCGGTGCCATACTGCCATACTCACTTCACCAGGATCACCTTCCTCCCTAATCCATCTCCAAACACCCTGGGTTTTCCCACCTTCTGGAGGGAACTGCCCCCTCTGCATCCTTCCAGATCTTATTTCAAATTGTGTCCCTGATAGGAATAAAATTCAACAAGGGCCGGATTTGTGTTCATCTCTGCCTGCCCCACCCCCCACCTCCTAGAACAGGGCCAGCACGTGTAGGCATTCAACACTTGTAGAACTCACGAATGCAAGCCACCTACTCCAGGAGGCCTTCCAGGTCCACCTCCGCATCTTTCCTCCAGAGAATACCCAAGGAACTTTGCCCCAAATTCTAATCAGCATTCCGTGTTTCTCAGGACTCTAGTAATAGAGGCATCAAATTATGGGATGGGCCATGGGCTTATTTCAAGGCAAGGACTTCATCCTGGTCATCTGTGTTCATAACCCACCACCAGCAGTAGCAGAATGCCTGGCACCAAGATGCCAAGGACCTTTCCTGCACTGGAGATGCACCCAGTTATTATCACAAGTCTCACGCAGGAAAAGCGAAATTGAAACCAGTTTTGGAGGAGCTAGCTCATCTTCACCACGCAAACGGCTCAAGCGGAGGCCCCCAAACCCCCAAAACTCCAGCTCTGGCCACTCTTGCAGGCCAGTCCTCCTCTGAGTAGAGCGCGGGAAGGACAGGGATTCAGCCAGCTCTGATGCCCAGACAAATAAATGCCGCGGAGGAGATTGAGAGAGGAGGGAATGCGGGGGGCGAGGGGAGCCAAGAGAAAGGGGTCATCCTGTACGCGGTTACCTTAGCCACTCGTATGCTCGCCATCTCAGGACCGAGTGTGTGCCACTGGCGGCCTCCAGCAGGACCGAGCACCGACACGCGACACAGCGCGCCGCGCCCCGCCCCGGGGGCCCCACCCCCGGCAGCCCCGCCCACCCCTCCTACCGCGGTCACTGCGTGGACCTCCCTGCATCCGCTCCGGCGGGGCCAGAAGGCCGCCGAGGGACAACGCGCCGGGCAACTGCCCGATCCCCGCGCGGAGGGCTCGGATCCGGGACTCACGGTCCTTGTGGGGAGACGGGGGCGGGCCTCGGGGCGCGAGGCTCTGCTGATCCCTGCCTCCCGCGGGGGGCGTCATGCACCGGCAGGGAGCGCTCAGGGGCGCTGGGGGGCGCTCATAGGGGTTCTAGCCTTCGCTCCGCCGGCGGCCGTGCCGGGAGCTCTCCGGTCTTGGTTAGCACCGCCGCGCGTCGCCTCAAATACACACTCGCCCTGAATGAATAAGGGATGCTTGCGGTGCGGACGCGGCTCCGTGACAGTTCTTGGTGGCCTCCATCATCAAACCTCCGCCCTGAGCCCCTGCCCCAGCGAGCTTCCGCAGCCGCCGAGCCTGCCGCCTTCCCTCCATGGGCCCAGCGCTCCTTCTCCGAAACTGCGTGAGGGACGGCATAGACCTGTGCCCTCCGAGCACCGCTGCCCGGCGTTCGGGAATCCTTTATGCTGTCCGGCGTTCGGCGCGGGCTGCAACGTTTCTCCCCGTGGCTTGAGGCAGAGCACCTCAAGGAGGCGCTGTTGGACCCTTTCTCTTTTGCTTTGGGGGTTCGGTCTACCATCATTCAGTCCTTTACTAGGCTTAGTATTTACCAAGTGCCTACTGTATACTGATTTGGGAAACAGTTGGCTGGGGGAAGCCCCAAGACAGACTCAGGAGTCTCCTTCCCAAGAGAGCGTCTGCTTCGCCTCCCTTACTTTACATCTGGTCCATTACAAGCTATGGGCCTAGTGTGCGCCCCCACGCACAGCTGGGGTCCCCACTCCTCTGTGCAAAGACAGAGTACTTGCAGCCCCTAAGCACCGAGCAGCAGCATCTAGGGAAGATGAGACTTGTTGGGAGGGCCGATCCCCTCCTTCTCACCCTTCCCTACCCCCCTTTAGTCCAGACAAGAAAGGAAATGGGTATATTTTGAGCACTAGTTTGTGATCTCAGTACCTCACAGGTTTTTTGTTTCCTGTTTTTCTGACAGAGTTTCGCTGTCACCCTGGCTGGAGTTCAGTGGCGATATCGGCTCACTGCAACCTCTGCCTCCCGGTTCAAGCTGTTCTCGTGCCTCAGCCTCCTGAGTAGCTGAGATTTACAGGCGCGCGCCACCACGACCGGCTCATTTTTGTATTTTTAGTAGTCAGGGTCTCCAGCTTCTGGTTTCAAGTAATCCGCCTGCCTCGGCCTCCCAAAGTGTTGGAATTACAGGCGTGAGCCACCTTAATGTTTTTATCAAAGTATTTTGAAACCTAATGACTTCTCTGCTCAGATTTTGCAGAATGATTGTTACATTCAATTCAATAAACTTTAACAGCATCTTCTATATGCCCGAAATGAATAGGACGCTCCATAATCCCTTAACAGGGGTAGAGATGAGGGAACAAAGACATTCAAACCTGCCTGTGATCAATAGTCTCAGTTAACAAGCACCTACTACTGAGTGGCAGGCATTGCCAATAGGAAACACCAGGATGAGAAAGGGGAGTCCTCACCCCTGAGGAGCTCCCAGACTACTGGGACAGAGGGAGAGAATGCAGCCCTTGATTTTTAATGATAATGCTGTAGAGAATCACCTGGTACTCTGGGAATATGAGGAGGGTCAGTTTTTCCCTCTTCAGAGAAGGGCAGAGGTTTCCTGGAAGAGAGAAAAATTCAAGTGTATTGTGAAACATGATGAATCAGCAAGAGTAAGAGCGTGGGATGAAGATGTTCTAACAGGAGGGAACAGCATGAGCAAATGGGGCAGTGTCTATGGAAACTGGAGCAAAAGCGTCTGTCCACGCGTCCTAGCTCTCCTTTTCTTTTCTTTTCTTTCCTTTTCTTACAGGAACTCTGCATCCCGAGATGAATTCACAGCCATGGATTTAGCTGGGTCCTAAGTCCCCACAGGTGTGACTTTCATGTCCTTTCACAATGCAGACCTCTGTGTGTCAGAACGAGCCCTAGGGAGACCTGGGTTCTAGCTCCACATCTGCTCCCACGTGCAGTATGGCCTTGGGTGGTCCGTGGAAACTCCTGTCTGCTTCCCAGGACCATTGTGAGGCTAAGCTGAGGGAAGTGGAGGAACTTTGAAAATTGTTAAGTCCAAGGTCGGGTGTGGTAGCTCGCGCCTATAATTCCGGCACTTTGGGAGGCCAAGGCGGACGGATTACCTGAGGTCAGGAGCTAGAGACCAGCCTGGCTAACACAGCGATACCTCGTCTCTAATAAAAATACAAAAATTACCCGGGCATAGTGGCGAGCGCCTGTAATCCCAGCTACTGGGGAGGCTGAGGCAGGAGAATCACTTGAACCCGGGAGGCGTGAGCCGAGACCACGCCATTGCACTCCAGCCTGGGCAACAAGAGCAAAACTCCGTCTCAAAAAGATAAAAAGAGAAAATTGTAAGGCCAGAATATAAACAATCAGGTTTGAATCCCAGGTCCACTATTTTTGGCTAAATAACCTTGGGCAAATTACTTAACTAGTCTGTACCTCCATTTCCTCATCTGTTAAATGGAACTCGTAATAGTGGATGTGAGGAACAATGATTTGATATTTGCAAAGAACTTTAACTTTGAACGGTGGACAATAAGTGACAGTTATAATAATGATAACATAATAAAGATTAAAATGGTGTCAGGTGCCTGCGCAGGAGTGGATGTTCCAGGCTATAGGAACAGATACCTGAGCTTGCTTCCTTAGAACAATGGCAACACTATCCTCTCCAATAGGCCAAAACTCCAATACCTGTTTTACTTCTCTCTCATCTAGTCACTGGCATTTATCCATCCATCTACAAAATTTATTGAGCACCTACTTACACAAGGCCCTGTATGGGGTACTCTATGGGACTCAGGCATGGGTTAGGCTGGCTCGTCTTCACCATTGAGAGGAAAAGACACCCATCTGTGTGATGACAAAAGGTGGTGGGAGAAAGGCCTCTTAAGTGACATGCACATATAAGGTATGTCTCTTCCAAGACTGAGCTCTGCCAACTGTAAGGCTTGCCAGTCTCTTATGAGGATAAAATGAGATGGTATATGTTAGGAGACACCTTGAAGGTGCGAAAGTATGTTATCTGTTTATAATGCCTCTAGAGTTCTGGGCAAGAGGTTCAGGTTTTTCAAATGTCTCCAAAAACCTGCAGTGCATCTTCAAGGGAAGAATTTGGATCAGGAAGGATCAGTTGATTTCCTTCCATGCCCATTCCTTGGGCTTGTTCCTATTTGGACTAGGGACGATTAATCTCAGAACTACCCCAGCAATCCCTATCTTCCTAGAGCTTAAAGAAGTTCCCAGGCTGGGCGCAATGGTTCATGCCTATAATCCCAGCTCTTTGGGAGGCCAAGGCAAGTGGATCACCTGAGGTCGGGAGTTCAAGACCAGCCTGACCAACATGGAGAAACCCCTGTCTCTACTAAAAATACAAAATTAACCAGGTGTAGTGGCACATGCCTGTGATCCCAGCTACTCGGGAGACTGAGGCAGAAGAATCGCTTGCACCTGGGAGGTGGAGGTTGCAGTGAGCCGAGATCGAGTCATTACACTCCAGCCTGGGCAACAAGAGTGAAACTCCGTCTCAAAAGAGAAGAAAAGAGGAGAAAAGAGGAGAAAAGAGGAGAAGGAGGAGGAGGAGGAGGAGGAGGAGGAGGAGAAGAAGGAGAAGGAGAAGGAGAAGGAGAAGGAGAAGGAGGAGGAGAAGAAGAAGAAGAAGAAGAAGAAGAAGAAGAAGAAGGAAGAAGAAGAAGAAGAAGAACAACAACAACAACAACAACAACAACAACCAGAGACAGAAGAGAATTTCCTGCTTCTTTTGATCAGGAAAGGAACCTTCTCCTGCTTACCCCACAGCCCCCCTTCCTCTGGGTTAGTCTCACACACACACATACACACACACCCCTCCTGTACCATAAGCCCTGCCCTTGTGGTTGAGGTAGAGGGATGGATAGAGGCAATCATGGAGACAGGGAGTCCCAGGAGGGGACTGGGGGGATTCCTGCCACAAGAGCAGGAAGGTGGCCTGATGAGTGAAGGACCTGCTTCCTCAGCTGGGCTCAGCCACTCACTGACTTCCTTGTTGTAGGACTTTGGACATAAGAAGTAACAGTAACAACAGATAACAACAATAACTAATGTATATTGGATGTGCAAGGATGTATTAGCAGCTTGGGCTGCTATCACAAAATACCACAGGCCAAATGGCTATAACAACAGGTTTTATTTTCTCACAGTTCTGGAGGCTGGAAGTCCAAGATTAAGATTCCAACTGAGTTGATTTCTGATGAGGGCTCTCTTGCCAGCTTGCAGACGGCTGCCTTCTTGCTATGTCCTCACATGGCCTTTCCTCAGGTGCTTGTGCAGGCAATGTGGGTATTAGAGAAATTGAGCTCTCCAGTGTCTCTTCTCACATGGACACGAATTCTGTCCAATCAGGGCCCCACCCTGATTACTTCATTTAATCTTAATTACTCTTTAGAGGCCCCATGTCCAAATACAACCACACTGGAGGTTACAGCTTCAACATGTGAATTTTGAGGGACACAAACATTTATTCCATAACATAGGTTTGTGCTAAGTGCTTGACATGCAGTATCATAATTGATCCATTCAATAATGCTTGCTTAATTTTCTCTCTAACTTCCTAAAATAGGTTATTTTATTGTTACCAGATTTTTTTTTTTTTTTTTTTTTTTTTTTTTGAAACAGAATCTCACTCTGTCACCGAGGCTGGAGTGTAGTGACATGATCATTACTCTCCACAGCCTCAACCTCACAGGCTTAAGCGATCCTTCCAGCTCAGTCCCCCAAATAACTGGGACTACAGGCCTGTACCACTATGCCTGGCTAATTTTTGTATTTTTGTAGAGACAGAGTTTCACCATGTTGCTCAGGCTGGTCTCA